CTTCCTTCCTTCCTTCCTTCCTTCCTTCCTTCCTTCCTTCCAAACCCTCTCTCTCTCTCTCTCTCTCTCTTGCTCTCCCTTCCTTATGATACTTTTTTTCTAAACTTAATGTGCTTTCATTCCTTCCTTGATTTCTTTCCTTGCTTATTTCCTTGTGTCCTTCCTTTATCTCGGTGTTCTTGTTAGCTTCTTCTTTTTCCCCATTACTTCATTGTGTCTCCCTTCCTTTCCTTTTTTCCTCCATTATGGTCATCCTTTCTTTCCTTTATTTCTTCCTCCTTTTTGGTTTTTATATTAAAAGCCCGAATGCTTCACCTGGCATCAGTTCTTTGTAAATATTAGTGCTATGAACTAAACACAGGACAGGGGACTTTGGAATGCCAGACTTGAAAGGTATATTTAGGAACCCCGACTTTGAAACCATAGCTATAAGACCCTGTATATAAATGTTGTTGTTCTTATTTAAGAGCAAACGATTTATGCTTGATTTAGTGAAAATAATTTAGAATACAGTTAGATGATCTTTGGACAATAAGGTAACAACATAATTTTAGCATAATTAAAGGCGAGAAGCCAATCTGGTCACATTTTTCATAAGTTGAACCACTTTGTGCTTTTTTGTCTTTTTAAGGTGGAGCGACAAAACGGAGATACAGTTTCAGAACTGGGCAGAGGGGAGTTCAAACGCTGATCTTAGAAGAAACGGGATGTGTGCCTCCATGTCTTCTTCTACAGGTAGACACAGGCAGAGCAGCGTGCTGCTTCTTATTTGATGCCAGCAGGCAGCTCTGAGATGTAACCTGGATGTTGCAGGGAAGTGGTCATTAAACAAATGCAGGGAACTTCATGGCTTTGTGTGCAAGAGAAGAACAGTGTCTGTGGTGGAGACTCCCCAGGAGCCGCACTATATTGGAGCATGCCCAGAGAAGTGGCTCTACTTTGGACACAAGGTATACCATAGTGCTTGCAGACATACATGCATATATGTTCATTTAAATGCATTTTTAAGAGGACTGTGCTTTCAGCTGTACATTGTTAATAGCAGAAATTACATCTGTAGTTATTAATAGGGACATATATGTTTCACATTTTCAATTTTTTTAAGACAATTACAATTTTAAAATGGACACAGTGTTAAGATTTATCTCTAAAAATACCAACATATGACAAACTTTGAAACATCAGTTATCATTACACAGTTATTCTAGCCCTTTGTCATGGTAAGAAGAAAACATCCAGAATTTTGTTTTTTTGAGGTTCAACATCACCTGCAATCCAAGGAGTTTCAAGAATTTAGAAAAAAACAATGGATTCTCTTAATGTTTTCTTAATACAGCCTTAAACTCTTCTATAGTCAAAAAGGTCTGATGGCTGAAGATTGGTTTAAGGCTGTTCCTGACCCAGGACAAGATTCTAGAAAACACAGAAGCTAAATGGCAAAATAAAAACAAAAAAAGAACCCTTACTCTTTGAAGACCTGATTAAAGATGCAGACATAAATGCAAACCTCAAAGAACTGGACCGATGCTGTAAAAGGAATGAACCAGACTTCCTCCACAGTTAGGTCCAAGGAAATTCTTTTAGAAAGCCACATTTCTAAATTGTTCTTGTAATATGTTGTTGCACAACTGCTCAATCCCTGACTTTATTTAGTTATGCACTCACACAGTAAGGTTTGCCACGACTCTTGTAAAATGATCAATAACTTAGAGGAATGTCATTTGTGTTATGAACATATTAGAAAGGATTTTGATTATTGTACAACCTCATAAATATTTAAGATCTGTATAATTTCTTAAAAGGCTTAACTCTCAGGAATGAAAATAGAGGTTCAGATATTAACTTTCCTTCTTCAGTTTCTCAGAGAATGTTCTCATTCGGAGCTACCTCCTCCCACTTGTCTAAAATAATTGGCAGATCCTCAGCTGCTTTTGAGGTTGAAGCATTTCTCAGTATTACATGTAGGTTTGACTTTGCTCAGGTCGGATGTCCTCTTAATCCGAATGTGGAAAATATAGAGAGCAAAAAGCCAGTTTATTAGTTATTAAAAAGTAAGCGGAAGCATTGGTGTATTTTAATGCTCTTCATCCTTTTATTAAGATTTTTATGTTCTGATTCGTCAGGTATGACTGCTCCGTATCCAACCTTAGCAAGCCTTTTAGCTATGACAGCTTGTATCTTCTACCTTTGAAACTCCCATTCCAATGGTGTCAAGGGAATTCTGGTTAGTCTTATTGCTTTGTGTGGGATTGATGTTTGTGTTGGCAGTGCCTCCTGCTTCACCTCCCTGGCAGCCCAAACGAAGGAAAGAGTTGGAAAGATGCCCAGTCCATCTGCTCTTTGTTTCAAGGCTCCCTGGTTGCCATAGAGGATGAGATTGAACAAGGTAGAGCCAGAGTGAACTCTATGATGGTTCATTTCAACGGGAAATCGATTTAGCTTTGTTCCTTTTCTCATTATTTCCCTGTTTTATTTAGTGTTTTTGTTTTCATGCTGTGATTTCTGCAGCATACATAACCATGCTGCTCCAGGGCAGCTCTGCAGGTGTGTGGATCGGTCTGTGGGACGAGGACACAATGAAATGGACCAACGGGAAACCAGTCAGCTACACCAACTGGTCTCCAGAGCCAAATTATTCTTACTCTGTAAGGCCACAGAGAATGGTCACGGTCTTTACAAACCTGCCAAAAGTTTGCCAACAAAGCATAATTCAGCATGCTATACAGACCAGTGTGTTTACACATAGCTTGATAATATCTTGTGTTGGCCTCTCAGAGGGAGGACTGGCTCAGTAGAGATGTCGATGAACCGCTCTGCACGGTTTTGTCCAACAACCACAACTTCCACCTCACTGGGAAGTGGTATGACGAGAAGTGCAGCAAGACCGGATATGGCTTTGTTTGTCAAAAACCCCAAGGTGAGGCTGCATGTGGATTTCCTTCCTTTGTTATCTAGCTTCAAAGACACATAAATGTGATTGACTCTACACATTTCTGCATTGAAGCTTTGATACTGAGGCCCAGAATGCATTTCGTCCACTCTGTGGTCAACATGTGTGACTCAGTGGTTCTCAGTCTAATTGCAGAAGATGCATTTATATCACCATTCTCTACTTTATTGTATCTTTAACACAGTAACAGAAATACTTACTATTGACACCCTGTTATGTGAAAATCAATTTTTGGGCATAACTTTTTTGCTAAATCGTTCAAGAAGCATTTCTTCCTTCACCGTCCATTTTCTCTTAGGGCAACCTACATGTTTTCTATTGGACTTGGTTCTAGATACTGATATGACTATTGGATAAATCTGTTTTTGTGTCAAATCAACCTCTTCTGCTGTTTTATGTTTTCAGTTTACCGGCCTGTAGATTTTTTGTAGCGATTTTATGCACCCTAACATAATTTCTATGACCTATGGAAGAGAAACAGACCCATAGAAAAACCTCCAGCATATTTTATAGTGGACTTGTAACCCTTTGATTGATACCAGACTTACTTGGAGTGTTGATTCCTGAAAAGCCTGATCATAACATTAAAATAGCAATAAGTAATAATAATGACACCTAGTGTTTGAAATTGGAACAACACAAAAAAACAGCAGCCTTAAAGGCATAGGAGGGTTCTTACCATCATTACATGCAAAATTCCTGTTTTAAACACTGAATGTTGCTGCATATATAATTTTAATAATAATAATGAACTTTATTGATCTCACACTGGAGAAATTCACTCTCTGCATTAACCCATCCCCTTGGGGAGCAGGTGGTTGCCACTTTGCGCTGCCCGGGGAGCAGTGTGGGGTTAAGGGTCTTGCTTCAGGACCCAGAGTGGCAGTCTGTGGGAGTTGAACTCAGAACCCTAATGCAATGCTCTAACTACTAGGCCACCACTCCCCTAAATAGCTGGTATATGGGTCCTGAGCCCTACCTCAACACCATAGCATGGTTAGCAAAGTTTGGTTTCAAAAGCTTTACTTTGTAGCTGCTTTTTGACGTCCGTCACATTTAACAGTTTTCTGTCTTTATGTTTAACATCTTTGTAAGGATGCATTCAGACTTAACTCTTGTTCTCTTTCTGTCTGGTGGACTTTAACCTGAACCTTAGCATGGAAAACGATTCTATTACACATTACCTGATGTTGCTGACTTCCTTTACTGTAAGGTTTGGAAAAGTCCAACTGAATCTAAATAAATCAGAAAGCCATGAACAATTTACTGACACAAACTTAGGAGCAAACATAAAAAAATATAAAAATTTCTTGCGAACTAAATAACAAACATCTTTGAACTGCACAGTGGAGGAAATTCCTTTTTAAAACTGCACTAGTGGGGTTTGGTCAGTGAGTCATGTATTATATATATACTTAGTAAAACAGCTGGGGGGATTTATTCAGTGACCATAGTTGGGCATTTGCTATTCTGAAGTGAACTTAAGAGACCCATAACAAAAGGAAGTAAAAGCCAAAAATTGTGACCCTCCCCCCCAAAATAAAAAATGTTCATAATCATAATGGGGCAATCTGATTTCTAAAACAACACACACACTCGCCAGCAAATCTCCCTTTATAAATCACAGCAGTATTTACCGTGAAGGTTCCTCTTTACTGTCTACCCCTATACATCCACATTAAACCGTAAAAGGTCAATGCTAAGGAACCAATGAATGCTGATTTGTATTTAAATGGGCCAGCTGACCCGTGTTATTTCATGGTTAACAATGGCAACTATGGAGAAGAGATTTTAAAAAAAAAACATTCAGTTTAAATGAGGCAGAAATAAATGTGATAACTGAGGGTGAGAGTTGTTAGCTACAGTAGTGTGAAAACAAAGGAAGTGGTATCACAGAATGATCTGTTGTTTCGGGCAGAGAGTCAATTAGCTGTTGATTATTAACACCTGTGTGTTGATTCAGCTGGTATGAGCCAGTTGACAAGAACCCCATAATACCTCAAAGAATCGTGCACCCAGCTTTTTTTTATATATCAGAATTGTGTGCTCTGACTTCATTTTTTTTTGTTTAACACTGGGTTGGTCTCTCCAACACCTGAGCCAACTCAGTAAATGAATCAAAGAGTAAGGCTCTAGGTAGTCTAATCAGCTGCTAAACAAGTCATAGGCCAGGAGATCTTCTGTAATCCCTGAAAATGTGTTCCCGCCTCATTCTCCCATTCACACGGTTATCCAGCTGTGCTTAATGTGTCCTTTGCACAGCATTACACAAGAGTGTCCCAGCAGAATTTAAATTATTAAAGCAATCAGCGTGATTTTTGCACAACTTGTCCCAATTTATAGGTTAATCTGTTGTTCACATCACTTTGATGACCTTAAAGGAAGGAAAATGATGGAGAGGAAGCTTTTAGATATTGCGTGGACTTAAAGATTAAGCTGGTTTATACATCTTTTTTTATCCATGTTCGGATCTTTATTTGTAGTTATTAAAATGGTTTTGAATGCTTCTGATGAATTGAAATTGAATTCCCCACCTCACTCACCTCATCGGCGTCACCAGTTTTCATTTCCTTACAATAAGCATGCACGAGTCAGAGTTGCAGTGAGGACCACACATTTTCCTGTCAATGTTGGGCTTTTTTTTTTTTTTTATCTATACATATATAGATCCCAACCTTTTCATTTCATAAGCACATTTTAAGGCCCGTTGAGTGTGCATGCAACCGTTAAAAAGGATTTCCCTCATCAGTGGATCTGTGATTTTAGTAGGATGAAATTGCTGTTTTTTATGAATATGAAATGTTTTGACGTTTTAGCTTTTATGGAATCTCAACCTTTTTTTAACTGAGTTTTAAGGCAGTATATATTGCATAACCTTAAACGAATATTGGTCTATCTGTATCTGCATAGCTCTATCAGTATAGAGTTGGACTGACCTTAAAAGATTGAGGTTACATCTGATACTTTCAATAATGACTCAAGGAAAGTTGTATTTTTTTTCTAAATATAAGCATGAAGTTCTAAACACCTCCTTTGTGTCAAAAATTAACATCTTGAAATAATCCTTTTGATACACATTGCTAGGACGTTGCAGTGGTTTTACTCTTTTTCTGTCTCTGCAGACACATCCAAACCCCCCACCCACTCCTATCACCACCCTCTTCCTGACAACATTGAGTACAGGAGCAGCACCTACAAGGTTGTGTCTGGTAACATGAGCTGGTACGACGCAATGCACATGTGCCTAGAAAATGATTCTGAGCTAGTGAGCATTACAGATGCCTACCACCAGGCTTTCCTTACTGTCCTTGTCAATAGATTGGACGCCCCCCACTGGATCGGACTGTACAGTCAAGATGTATGTACCAACTCATGTGCTTTCTACTCTATATTTCTACTGTGTGACACTTTTGATATACAGTGAGGAAAATAAGCATTTGCTATTTTGCAAGTTCTCTCACTTAGAAATCATGGAAAGCACTTAAAATGTAATTGTAGGTGCATGTCCACAGTGAGAGACATAATCTAAAAATAAAAATTAATATATCACAATGTATCACCATTTTTGAACTATTTATTAACATGATACAGCTGCAAATAAGTATTTGAACACCTGTCTATCAGCTAGACTTCTGACCCTCATAGACCTTTTAGTCTGCCTTCAAAATGTCCACCTCCACTTCATTTATTATCCTAAATTAGATGCACCTGTTTTAGGTCATTAGCTGCATAGACACACCTGTCCACCCCATACGATCAGTAAGAATCCAACTACCAACATGGCCAATACCAAAGAGCTCTCCAAAGACACTAGAGACAACATTATACACCTTAGCAAGGCTGGAAAGGGCTAAAGGGAAATTGCAAAGCAGCTTGATGAAAAAAGGTTCACTGTTGGAGTCATTGACATTACTGCCAATCTCCCTCGGACTCCATGCAAGATCTCAACTTATGGGGTCTCAATGACCCTAAGAAAGGTGAGAAATCAGCCTATAATTACACAGGAAGAGATGGTCAATGACCTGAAAAGAGCTAGGACCACCATTTCCAAGGTTACTGTTGGTAATACACTAAGATGCCATAGTTTGGAATCGCTGCCCTGCGATGGACTGGCGAACTGTCCAGAGTGTACCCTCAAACCTCGCTTGTAGACAGCTGGAGATAGGGACCAGCACACCACGGATTCCGCTTGGGATAAGCGTGGTTAAAAAATGGATGGATGGTTTGAAAACATGGCATGGAAGGTTCCCCTGCTTAAACCAGCACATGTAAAGGCCCATCTGAAGTTTGCCAATGACCAGTTGGACAATCCATAGGAATCATGGGAGAAAGTCATGTGGTCAGATGAGACCAAAATAGAAACTTTTGGTCATAATTCCACTAACCGTGTTTGGAGGAAGACGAATATAGAGGACCATACCTATTGTAAAGCATAAAGATTGTCATACTTTGGGGGTGTTTTTCTGGACAATGGACAGAGCAACTGCACTAATTTAAAAAGAGATTTTATTGTGAGATTTTGGGGAAGAACCTCCTTCCCTCAGTTAGAGCATTGAAGATGGGTGGAGCCTGGGTCTTCCAACATGACATATCCCAAAGCACACATCCAGGATAACCAAGTGGTGGCTCTGGAAGAACCATATCAAGGGTCTGAAATGGCCTAGCCAGTCTCCAAGCCTAAGCCCAATAGAGAGTCTTTGGAGGGAGCTCAAATTCTGCGTTTCTCAGCAACAGCCCAGAAACCTGATGAATCTAGAGAATATCTGTGTACTGTAGAGGAGTTGGCCAAAATCCCCCCTGCAGGGTTTGCAAGCCTGGTGAAAAACTACAGGAAGCATCTGACCACTGTAACTGCAAACAAGTCTTCTGTACCGAATATTAACATTTGTTTTCTCAGATGTTCAAATACTTTTTTTTGCAGCTGTATCATACAACTAAATAGTTAAAAATCATACATTGCAATTTGTGGATTTTTCTTTTTAGATTATGTCTCTCACAGGGGGCATGGACATACAATGACAATGTCAGACCCCTCCATGATTTCTTAGTAGGAGAAAAAAAAAGCAGGGTGTTTAAATACTTATTTTTCCTCACTGTATGAGTGGGTGTCTAGCTTGCCTTATTGCTCTTTGCTTTTAAAACCTTCTGTTGAATTACACAGACAGTTTAAATTCAAAGGTTTTGAAGTTCTTAAGTAATCTAGAAGTCAAGACAACTTAATCCAGGGGGAAAATAGCTTGAAACCAAATTATCTTGTGGGAAAATGTTGCTTATCTGAATTACAAAGTATCATGGAAAATCCCGGCATGCAATAGATAACCACAGACTGTGTTGAGTTTGTTTTTCATAGTTTCTCAGCCTTTGTGAAACTCGGGGGCTGTATGTTGGCCTTTTTAAGCCATTCAGATATGTACTTTCCCTCTTAACAGTGAAAGAATTAGAGTTTGGATCCAGTCATTGCAGATCCCTCATGGGGCTGTCCTTAAAAAAAAAAAAGGGAAATAAATAAAGGAAGTGATGGTTTCTGTTTTTCTCCCATCTTTCTCCTTGTTAAACTCTATACAAAGACCCAGAAATATAGCCGTAGCACTTTGCTCATACAACGTCAGCCTCTTGCTATGTCACTTATTACACCATAACATCAATAATTAAAGAATTTAAAAAAATTACAATTAAATTTACAATTTAGATAGATTATTAGTTACCTTATTATCTTAAAACAAATATTCTTGTGAAAAAGATTTAAAATACTTACAAAAAAAGTGTTAACTGCTGTGATATGTGTGGAGCTCCCTGACCATAAGCTGGCTACTGTTAATCTTTACAGAGTGGCATCAATTATAAGTGGTCAGATGGCAGTGACACAGTATACACACACTGGGACCCATCCAATGATGAAGATGATGACTTTGTTTCTGGAGACTGTGTGTACATGGACGTGAACGGGGGCTGGAGGAGAGCAGACTGTGAGACTCGGTTACCAGGAGCTCTTTGTCGCATTCCTCTGCCAAGTCAGTATCATTTCTGTGATGAAGCATTAAAACTGCGATTCTTAATACCGGATCTAGCCAGATTTGTAAAATTAAACTCTTGCGTTTCCTTGCAGGCAGTAAACCATTTATTTCTTATGAGACGTCCTGTCCATCCACCTGGGTGAAGTTTGGACGAGGTTGCTACAACTTTGAGCCAGTGGTTGAGAAACTCACCTTTGAAGAGTCAAGAATCCACTGTAAACAGAAAGGTATGTTTGTCTTCCTTTTTTTCTTCCTTTATTTCAATGTTAATCAGTGCAGAATAACAATTTTAAAAGTAAAAAAACAAAATAGTGGCTTTAGTAATTGTTATTTTTTGTTTTTTTTTAGATATCCACTTTTAAGAGACGATAGACTTTATTGATAAATGGGGTCTATGTGGTATATACAGTGCAGCCATATATGTGTGTGTATATATATATATATATATATATATATATATATATATATATATATAGGTGGAGTCTCCTATTTAGCAGATTGTTGCACAGGGTATTAAATAGTAATTGCACATTAGTTGTTGCACAAGTTATTGCAGTTATAGTACTGCATTATAAAGTTTTACTACTATAACTTATACCACTTAGAACTGTGGACTGCAATGATGGAACAGTAGAAACACCAAATTTTAAACGTACTAATAAAAAATATATTTTTCTTTAGTATTTTTGTGTTGAATATGAGCCTACTGTAAAACTCCTCCACCTAGTTATGATACTTTTTCTTTACGATATAATGAACTGTGCCAGGCTAAAATTTCTAGCAATATTTTGGGCATTTGCCTGTAAACTATTAACTCTCAACTCGTTTGAATGGTATTCTGGTCCTATTATCTGTAGTTTTCCATAAATTATGAAATAACACATTGCTTAAATTACCCTCTGATTTCTTGTGTGGCTTATGGTCATTTAACTGCGTTTTAGCCACCTGGGAAAACTTAGGCCTTAGATCACCTAAAATTTAAAACTTGTAAATCTTGAACTTGTCTAATGAGTAATCAAGTATTCCATAGTAAAGTAAGATTCTTTCAAGCAAGGTTTATGATTTACCGCACCTTTTTTTGGTTTTCGTTTTCGTTTTAGTTTAATGTTTTTTTTTCTTTTACATTTTAGACCTTGACAAATAGCCTCAGTTCCAATTTGTTCTTAATCTGAAGCTGTATAGAAAATAAAACTGATAGTAGTATAATGATTTTAATGTCTAAGATGCATTTAGTCTCTCTTTAAAAAACAAAAGTCAATCAATCAAAATACTGCAAATTGTAACTCCTAAGTCCTGTTCCTAGCTCCAATCCCTTCATATTTTGTTGGGTTAACAGAAAGAACACTATAGTGGGAAGTAAAAGAACTCTGTACTTCTGGACTAAATCTTGGCAGATATTATGTGGAAATGTACATGAATAACGCTTGTCAAAAGTGGGGCTACAGCTTTCTAAAAAAGAACTACAACCCTAAAGTTACACAAACTTAGCAATGGCTGAGCTCTTCATTATAAAACCCAAAACATATGAAGGTGTATACTTTTACATGTGTACACTCTCAATGTATTTCTGTTCAATTCTCTGAGGTGGGCTGTCTCTATATGTCCTGTCACTTGAAGAATTGTGGAGGTTTGTAAAGCTCCTAATCACCAGTATTAATTATGGACAATCCAGGACCTTCACAGAAAGCCAATGATGAAAGACTACTGAGATTTACTGACAAGGGCCCATTACTCCCAGGTACCACTGATGTTTCCAACATTGGCATTAAAGTACCCCAGTAGGGCAATGGCATCCCCAAGTGGTTTGCTGTCCAGCACTACAGCCAGGGACACTCAAAAGTCTAGACATCCTGTACCGACACAAGACGACTGGGCTTGGGAGAGACAAGTGAACCCATCCCAGGCCTCTGCCTCTCTTAAGGAGCTAGGTTTGAGAGCTCAGGCTGGACTATTTCTAGCTGGTATTGGTCAACCTCTTGCTTGAGGTCAAGCTTCTTCCCTCCCAGCGAGGTGACATTCCAAGCCCCAAGAGGCATCTATTGATCAGGTTGCAAAGGGTTCCGCATCTGACTTCTGCCCGATCCATCCTCTTCACGACAAAAAAATTCTGCTCTGAATAAAACATTACAGAGTTTTCTAATGATACTGCCACCTGTGGCCAAAACACAGAACTGTAGCTCTCTACTGCTCGTTCCGTTCTTGTAGCTCATGCAAGTCTACAATTTTTTATTACTTTTTTTTTTACCAGTTTTTTTTAACATTATCTTAATTTGCCATTGGTATCTGAGTTGAGTTGGATTCCAGTCACTTCTGAGTATCCACAAAATCCTTTTGGAATATATTGTTTCCATTTTTCGCAATCAAACCCTTCTAATCAAAAGTACATTTAGTTAAATAGGCTATAGGCTTATAGATGCATTGGTGCTGAACTACAGAGGTGTTGGTCTGCTTAAACTATGTCTTAGCCATAAAGGGTCAAAGATATTTTTCAGTACATATTGTCTTTTTAAGCCTAAATAAGAGTAAAAACACACTAAATGTATTGCATCTAAGAAATTAAAGTTGATTATTATGCTTTGCTCACCATCTAGTCAACACCTCAGATGTCCTGACCATTGAAAGTGAGACAGAGAACCGCTTTGTGCTGGAGCAGCTGTGGTCTTCTGGTTTCCTTCACCGCACTATTTGGTTGGGAATGTACTTCAACATTGACAGTAAAGACTTTTTAACCCTTTTTTGTAACATATTACACAGTGATGATGAGTTTCAGTTAACTTGAGTTTCTGCTTCCAGCTGATTCAATGTCCTGGGTTGATGGTTCACCAATGGACTACACCAACTGGGCTAATAAAGGCCCAGACACAAAGCAGCTCACTGCAGATACCTGTGTTACAACCAGGGTGGTCGATGGTGTGTGGCATTTATCAACATGTGGGGAGCAGCTGGGTTTCATCTGCAAAACCTTCTCAGGTAAACATGGGTGCCCTCTAAAGCTTATCAAAGGGGCTGCCACATGATAACCTTGATGGCCTTGATGGTGCCACAAGCAATACCAGAATTTAAAGTGCAGCCCACTCAATTGTGCCGTGCTATGCGGGACAAAATATCATAAAGGAGAATAAAGTAATGAATAATTGCAAAACTAACTATGATCCTCCCCTTTTTAAATTCAAATTCCCTTGTGGGAACCACAGAGACACTAAACTAAGAGCATTTTCAGTACATGACGTTCTAAATGTAAGGGTGAGCGTTCATCTTTGATGTTGTCAATTAGACAGAAACAAACATTTGATGAACACAAGCAGGTATAATTAGTTCAGGGCTGTATGCATAAAGTAGCATTTGTTAGTTTCATAGTTTTTGAGGAATAAATTCAACAAACAAAAATTGTTAAAGTGTATTTTTTTTCTTTGTATTCGTATTTATCTGTACACAGTCAGCTTTCCTGAATGCCAGAGCTGACTTATCATAAGATGTTACTAAACTTCAGTCTTCCTTATCTTTTCCAGATGTAACTACTGAGGTGGAAGTGGAACCATTAAATGGTAAATCACTATAAAAACTGGAAAGATTTGTTTAGAGTTCTTCAAGCGCAAGCTAACAGTAATTGGTTTCAGTTGATCCCAATTACAGTAACTTTGGCAGAAAATGTCAATGTCATTCATTGTAAATTTCGCCCGTAAACGGAGTTATCTCTCATTGGTCTAAAATATGTTTTTTGCAGGTTTGCATCATGGCGTCATTTCTGCTGCAGTGCTGGTGGCAGTGTTGATCTTTGTCCTCCTGGCAGGAACCATGTGGTTTTTTTACAGGAGGAATCCAGCATGCTTTCGTGGTTCGCCCTCACTAGGTAGCGCTTATTACAGACAAACTGACTCTCAAGCAGCAGAATCAGATGGAAACGTTCTGATTACAGACCTGGATGCCTACTATGGAGAATAACACCTAAGGATTTTGATAATTTAATAGCCTTTGTGTGTGTCTCAGAGTTTCCTTATCAGGGTGTAAGGGCCAATGAAGTCATAAAGCTGTGACACCCAACTTCTCTGCAGACCTGGACAGTGGATGTTTTTGAAGTATCCTCATGGCTCTCTGGTTTGGTTTATTCCATTCAACATTAGCATCAGCATTGAACTGAGACTAAAGTAGGACTCAGTCCAGTCTGCCAGTATGGAGAACCAGTGTTCTATATGTTATACTTGAACTAAGATCAGTTTATTTAAAATATTGCGTAAATGATAGAGAGAGCTGTAAGCTTTGAATTTTCACACATTTTTAATAAGAAATAAATGAAAACCATTATTTCTGTTTGATAAAAGTTTGCTAAAGAAAATGAATGATTTCTAAGACTCAGAAAAATTGAAAAAGAGAAGACTCAGAAAAATTGAAAAAGAGAAGGAAAAACTGGCTTTTCATATTTCTGTTAAGAAACAACACTGATAATTTGATATTGCTGATGTGATTCATTGTATGGTGCATACAGGAGCATATGAATTTGCTGGATCTGCACATGTGGTGCAGCAAATTTGTCAGTTTTACTTATGTATTTACATGTTATTTTGCAAGTGCTCATGCTGCATATTAGCATTGGAAGGTTTTCGTTTGTTTGTATTGTTTGTTTGCTTGCAAAGTCCAAAAAATGTATAGGCTTCTTTTCAGATTTGGTAATTAAGAAAATAAAGAAGTTGATGTTTTTTTTTTTTTTTTTTTTTTTTTTTTTTTATTTGTTTACAGGAAATTAAATTAAGGTGACATAAAAGTGGTTATGAATGG